GCCCGATGCGGGACTCGATCCAGGGACTCCAGGATCATGACCTGAGCCGAAGGCAGTCGCTTAACCAACTGAGCCACCCAGGCGCCCTAATGCAAGTAATTCTTATCTATAGACTTGAAAATAAATTCTGCCTGGTGAAGGGACACTCTTCCTTCCCACAGAAAGGTCAATTTTGCATCTAATTGCAAATTTATTTTAATATTCCTGAGCTATAAATACGTGTCCTTTGGATTCTCTTTTAAACCAGTTGTGACATTCTACAGATCTCTCTCTCTCTCTTTTTTTAAAGATTTATTTATTTGAGAGAGAGAGTGAGCACAAGTGGGGGGAGGGGCAGAGGGAAAGAGTCTTTAAGCAGACTCCCCGTTGAGCGTGGAGCCTGACCCAAGTCTTGATTTCAAGACCCAAGAGATTGTGACCTGAGCCAAAACCAAGAGTTGGACACTAAACCAACTGAGCCACCCAGGGACCCCTACAGATCTCTTTTTTAATCAACGCGTTAAATAAATAAAATATTTGACATGCGTTCATTTTAAATTTGTGTGAGATCCATGATTTTACCTGTCTTGGGAAATTATCCCTTAACACCATTGTCTCATTAAACTTTCATAACACTCTTACTTTCCAGTGGAATGGATTAGGGAATAGATGTTCATTCATTCAATGGATATTTGTTAAGTGCCTATTACGTGGCAGGAGCTATTCTGGAGGCTAGGGATGCAGTGATGAGCCAGAGAGAACTCACGGAGCCTCTAGGAGGGTTGAAGATGTTAAATAAAGTCACAATAATTGAGTCACAAATTGTGATCATCTATGAAGGAAAAGACAGATGCTTAAGGAAGTGATTTTTCCGGGTTTCCAGGCAGAGATAGAGGCACTTGTGAAGGTCCATATGAAAATGTGCTTGGCCTGGAGAGGAGCAGGGGAAGGGCATGTGCTGGAGGGTAGAGAAAGCAGTTAGCAGAGAATGGAGGGAAGGTCCAGGTCAGGCCTGCCTTGTTTGTAGAGTCTGGAGTTGATTAATCAATCAAGACCAGAGAGCAACTGGCCAGAGGTCACACACAGCCTGAAAGTTTGGTTTGTGTACTGTGAGACATATATTCTTAACCATTAAGAAGAAAAGAAAAGAAAAGAAAAAGAAAAAAGCTTGCTTTCTTTTTTGGATGTAACAAGATAATTCGAGAAAAAGTCAGGAAGCTCATCCTACATTTTCCAAAACAACTCTCTCTTCTGGGTGTTGTTAATCCTTCACCTCTGGCTGGACTTGTGTGAACCTGAGATGACATTAAGGGCATCAGGAACATGTAAAAATCTAGACACTGTGTCCACATTTCTGTGGCTTGAGCTTTCCTGACGTTTCTATTACCTTGCACAGTACCAGACATATGGTGCGTACTCAATAAATATATGTTGACTAATTGGCTGATTAATTACAAATATTATGGCAGGCCATGTGTTTTCTGGTGAATCACTGAGGGATGAAAATGTGATTTTTTTCCTGGGTCAAGTTGCCATGGTTCTAGATTCACCTTTGTTTTGCAGCAATTTTTTTCATTATGTCTATTGCTAAAGTGGACACTGATTGATTGATTGATTCATTCATTCACTATTTCATTCATCTTAATTTGATCCAGGAAGAATAGAAGATGGTACTTAAGCAAGAACTCTGCTGGAGTCATTCCGTATTCCCAGGGAGAAAATATGTAAACTAAGTAAAATCATATGTCACAAAGATCTCCGAACAACAATGGTTTATAACTAGAAAAGTAATAGTTACAGTTGTGAGCTTCACACATTAAGGGACATATAATGATGCTGGGTTCTCCTGAGTTCTGCTGTTCTTCCTCCAGTAGGTCAGTAGACAGCAGACAGGTTGGAGAAGTTTATATCTCCAAGGACCAAGAGAACCTTTGGGAACACTTTAGGTCCAAACTATTCCAGACAACAGATAGAAAGTAAGATGGGAATAATTAAAGACCATGTCACTTGGTTATATTTGAGATACAAAAGGGGATCCACTTAGGCATTTTTCAACACTTCAGCCAATTAAATTAAATAGCAGAGAGAAACACTCAGTCCTTAGTCATTCATTTACTTATTCATTCAACCAACATGGTTCTGGATACTAGGGATACTGAGGTGAAGATGATATGACCTTTTGTTTAAAAACTAGAAATCCACTGGTTTCACGAACACTAGAATTTAGACTGAGACACGCATGGTTTAAATGCCATTTACATTAATTCTGGCTTCATATTTTTGTATAATAGTATATTGAAATAAATTTTTTAAATGCTACCAGAATAGCATCAGAAACTATCTGCTCAGAAACTTGAAAAATACTAATAATACCACATAAACACAATAATAATTTTAACACATAATAACACCAACATCTCAATCAATATTAAATCTGTAAGATGATGGGTTTTAGAGGTGGAAGGGACTTTAGTTATTGTCTAGTCCAACCTTCTGATTTACAGAGGAGCAAACTCATGCCAGAGTGAAGACCCCGACTTGTCTGAGGTCACCTAGGAGAATAAGTGGCTGAGCCCGAATCCAAACTCAGGCCCCCTACCCCACCTCAATGCTCTTTCCCGTAGATTCCTAAGCACACAAAACGGTCGTTGAATCACTAACCTTTCCTGGCATCTGCTTGTAGGACAGGTATGGGCGTGAAGTAGGGATCCGTGCGATGAGAGGCTGGTAGAACTGTGAGGTTGGATATGGTAGACCCTTTTATTAACTTCTGAACCTTCACCTAGACAATCAAAAATTTGTTTTCAGCAGACAGTTTTGCTTTCAAAAGGAACACAGTTTTCTTCTTGTAAACAATAAATAAGATTATGAATAGTTTCATTAAGTTTTAGTAAAGTAGCGATAGCAGCTCCAGTTTTATTGCTCATGAGTACCCTGTTGCTACTGTCTACTCTCAGGAGTTGGTGTAATTTAAAATAGTTAATTAAATCCAATTAACATGTGATTTCCACTATGCAAAGTCACTATAGTAGTTCATAAAGGAACTATTAAGATTTTGTTCAATTTTAATGACTACGATATAAAAGTGCTAAATCTTGACAGAAGAGGTTTTGAATACAGCAAAGTTTTGTACAGGCGAATTTCCCAGGAAATACATATTAGAGTTGTGAGAGTAAAAAAACAAAAACAAAAACAAGCGAACTGGGAGAATTTCAAGATAGACGTATCAAGGGCATCTGGGTGGCTCAGTCGGTTAAGTGTCCGACTATTGATTTCAGCTTAGATGAAGTCATGATCTCAGGGTTGTGAGATGGAGCCCCACTTAAGATTCTCCCCCTCCCTCTAAAACAAAGCAAACAAAAGGTTAAAAAAAGGTAAATGTATCAGTCAACATTAATAGGTTAAAAATGAACTTTGAGTGGACTCTTGAAAATCTCAGATAGAGTTAAAGACCTGATATCTAGATCAGTTACAGTAGATGATTACCTTTTCTAAAGTCATTAAATGCTTTTATTATAGTTATGAAATATGAATTGTTTCTATTAAATGGTTTCTAGCTTTTAAAGACTAATATGTATTGCATATAAATCACATTTAATTGTATAGCTCAAGTACACTATTTTTACCTTTATTAGAAGAGGTTATGAATTACCTGGGCCCTCCCAGCAGGGAAGATGTAGCTGTTTGGTATTTATATACTGATTTAAATTTTCAAATCATTTTCCAAACATTAATTAATCTGCATAACTTCTAAAGGAACTAGGTAACAATTTGCTCTTTAACTAATAAAGAACCAAGACTGAAAGGCTAGTAGATTTGTTTCAGGTCACACAGTATACTAGAAATACACAGATTATTCAATTTTAAGATTAATCTGATTTTACATTAGTGAAATTTGCCATTGGACTCCGTTGTACCATACCTTATTGCTCCTCAAGTTCATGGGAAAGGAAAGGGAAATTCATCAAGAGTTGAGTGGGGGAGAAAAATCACTTCCCCAAATAAGTATCTATTGGCTAAAAAATGTCTGTGTGAACAAAGGATGTGGGGCTTAAGGGAAATTGTAAACAGCTACCATCCTGTGAACACCAAACATTTGGTGAGGACAGTTTAAAATAACTATAAGTAGGGTTTTTTAAAAGGAAAGAGTAGACAGCAAAATCTCCTGCCTTCCAGGTGAGTTGGAAGAGGAAAGGGGAGTGCCATGGGCCTTGCCTTTTTTTTTTAAATATTTATTTATTTACTTGAGAGAAAAAGAGAGAGTACAAGCAGGGGGAGGGGCAAAAAGCGAGGGGGAAGCAGACTCCCTGCTGAGCAGGGAGCCCAACATGGGGCTTGATCCCAGGACCCTGGGATCATGACCTGAGCGAAAAGCAGACGCTTAACTGACTGAGCCACCCAGGCACCCCTCCATGGGCCTTGCCTTAATGACAGCTAGGAGTTCATGTGCATGTCGTGTTATTATGGAAATTCCATCTTGCCGATCCACCGTGGTCTCTTTCTCATCCTCAGCTCTTCTCGCCTCACCTCACCTCACCTTACCTCACCTCACCTCACCTCACCTCACCCCCAGACCGGGGTGGCCTCCAGGATCTCCTGATCACCCAAGGTACTGTACTGCAGGCCTGGCATGTGCATAGCTGATTTTCAGTAGCAAAAAGGGAAGGGTCTCCACTTGTCTGATTGATATCAGGGTCAGGGAGGCAAAGGTAAATCGGAGGAAGAGAGAAAGATTCCACTTAAATAAAATTGCCCAGCATTGCGAAGATGTAAAGTACAGGTTTGGCAGTTTCAGGGCACAGAGCATCATTTATCTGGATTTTCTGAAAGCCTTTGACAAAGTACACCTGCCAACCTGCTCTTGAAAGCCAAAGTAGCAGGATCTGACATAAAACACAATGCCAAGTGTGACACAAAGGAGAGGGTGGAAGGCGGATGATACTGGGATCCTGTCAGGCAGCCAGCTGGTTTCTTTAATTGTTTCAGTTGCATCTATCTCGACAATGTAAAAGCCAGACCCAGTGTACGTGTGCGTGCGTGTGTGTGCAGGGGCATGGAGAAGAGGGTTACACTTGGGGGTTCACACCCGCTCGAGATTACAGAAATAAATCCCACATGCCGTGTCACTGGGTGTGCAACTTGAACCCACTCTGCTGTCCTGCTCCCGTGGTAAGACAACCACCTCTGCATTTGCTTGCTTGGAGGGAGAAGGCATGGAACAACCTTGAACACTTACTGAGCACTTACCATATAACACTAACTTTAATACGATGGGCGTTAAGTTTCATGAGGAATGGACATGCTCAGGGCAATGGGAGTGCAGAAGAGGGAGTCATTGACTCTGTGCTGGTGTTGCGGAGGGCTTCACAGTGACTGCACCCGAGCTGTGTGTTAGAATCTCTCAGGGAGCTTTTTAAAAATACTGCTGCCTGGACCCCAACTCTGGGCAAATAAATCCGAATAGCTGGGCTGGAGCCTGGTCCTCAGTATTTTTATAATGCTCCCCGGGTGATTCTGATGTACAGCCAAGGTTGGGATGGACTGCAGTAAGTGATATTTAAATTGTGTCTTAAAGGAAGCATTGAATTATGTATCACGTGGAGAAGAGGATGCAATTATAGAGAGAAAGAATGGTGGCGACAAAGCATAACAGCATACAGAAGGATGAAGACTTCAGGGAAGGTGAGGCTCTCGGTGTGGCTGGAGTACGGTGTGTGTGTACCAGGAGGGTGGGGCAGGGGACAAAACTGAACGGTAGGTTAACAAAAATGAAAGAAACCAGTGCCAATTGCCTAACAGAAGTGAATATCAGGGCGCCTGGGTGGCTCAGTCGTTAAGCGTCTGCCTTCGGCTCAGGTCATGATCCCGGGGTCCTGGGATCGAGTCCCACATCGGGCTCCCCGCTCTGTGGGAAGCCTCCTTCTCCCTCCCCCACTCCCCCTGCTTGTGTTCCTGCTCTCGCTATCTCTCTCTCTGTCAAATTAAAAAAAAAAAAAAAAATCTAAGAAGTGAATATCATCTGCTTCTGGCTTCTCCTTTATGTCATGCTTTATATTTTAGTCTGGAACCATGCTGTGTAGTTTGTATAAGTGATATGGACTATCATAGAAATAGAACAGTGTTCTTTATATCTGGTGTGTCATGACTATTTCCAAAACTCTATCGCTTTATGCCTAAACCTTCTATAACAGCTTAATTGTTTTTTTCAAAATTTAAAAAATATAGAAAAGCTTAAAAAAGAAAACAGCAATCACATTCCTGCCAGCCAGAATTAATTATTGTTAACATCTTGGTATATTTGCTTCTAGTGTTTTCAAATAGAAAAACCATCCTATTTTATGATTCTGGTAAAAAATGATATTTGCTCATTATAAAGATTCCAATTAGTGCAGAAAAACAAAAAGATGAAGGTTTAAGAAACCATGCCAAATATCATTAGGTGATCCATTATCCCTGAAATCTTTGAATGATTAATATATCATTTTACAAAAATAAGATTTATATTACATTATTAAACTTAAATTTTGACATGAATTTAATAGGAGGGGAAAAGACTGAATTAAACTTAACAAATTATGAAACCTCAAGTCAATATTTCTTTACCACAAGATTCCTACGAGTTGAAAAAGATTCCTCTGCAAGGGTTGGCAGTTTTTGTTTTTTGTTTTTTGTTTTTTTTAAAGGGCCAGACAGTAAATACTTTAGGCTGTTCTGGTCTGTTGTTAGAGCTGGAAAGTAGCATAGACAATATGTAAACAAATGATGGCACTATGTTCTAATGAAACTTTATGTACAAAAACAGGTGGTCCGCCCCCAGGCACTAGTTTGTAGACTCCTGCCCTATAGTTAAATAAAGGTGACTATGAAAAAACATTTAGGTTTTTTTAAATCACGTTGTAAATTTGAATAATATACCCCCATCTTCAAAAGATGAGAACATTAGAACTCTCTTGCTACGCCCATCCCCTCTCCCTCAGCTCCCAATTTTTTATTATATTATTGTTTTTATGTTGTCCAGATTTATAATATCCACATTCTGTTTTGAAACCATAATCGCTAGGATTGTTTAGTAGTCATCCTACGTGTAAATGGATCCAGTGTCATGGCTTCTCTATGCTTAAATTCTTGTTTTGATTGACTTATTTTTTTTAAGATTTTTATTTATTTATCTATTTTTAAAATTTTATTTACAATCAATTAGCATATAGTGTATTATTAGTTTCAGGGGTAGAAATTAGTGACATCAGTTGCATAGAACACCCAGTGCTCATTACATCAAGTGCCCTCCTTCATGCCCATCACCCAATTATCCCATCCCCCACCCACCTCCCCTCCAGCAACCCTCAGTTTGTTTTCTATAGTTAAGAGTCTGTTATGGTTCATCTATTTATTTTTGAGAGAGAGAGAACAGGGGGAGGGACAGAGGGAAAGGACAGAGAGAATCCTCAAGCCAGCTCTCTGTGGAGCACGGAGCCCAATGCAGGGATCGATTTCAGGACCCTGAGATCATGACCTGAGCCGAAATCAAGAGTCAGATGCTCAACCAACTGAGTCACCCAGGCTCCCCTATTTTGATTGATTTCTTAGTTGCTTGCCTTTGGTTATCAAACAGTCCTTTCCAACAAGTGTTCATGGGTATTTATACTTAAATGATATCTGGGGTCATCCTTTCTTTTCTCAAAACTTTGAAGACACTGACCCATTGTCTTCTACAATGAATGTTGTGAAATTTGATGCCAGCCTGATTCCTCACCCTTTGTCGGTGATTTTTCTTTCTGCCTG